ACAGGTGGCTTTCCAGGTATTCGGCCCGTTGCCACGCTATGACGTCAGTTACTAAAACACGCACGAACTCAATACGATAAATCTAATGCATGCGTATTACAAATTAAAGATATGCTTCGAGGTTCATGGGGGCGGAATGAGCATGCAGAATTGCATACAGGACGAGGGCCAAGAGTAGCACAGACCACCAGTATCTGGAGAAAACATTCACTTGGCCTCGAAACCCGGCGCTTGACTTGTCGTTTGCCATTTGAAACCAGTGCCTTAAATTTTCCCACAGATGAAATCATAGTGGTGGTGGGCGGCAGGCCTTTCCAAGTTGACGCGGCACGGCGAGGAAATGCCCGCTCGGTGGTCTCCTGTCGGCTCCTGGGTACGCGGGGAGATGTCGGCATAAAGGGGCGCGGGTCTCTTGGTGAAGCAGAGCACCGTGATTTGAAAACAGACTGAATAGTGAGGACAATGGCTCACAGCTCTGCGGACTAAAGCGAGGACAGTGGCTCACAGCTAAGCGCTTGAACAGTGGGAACAATGGCTCACAACTCAGCGGACTGAACAGCGGGTGCAGTGGCTCACAACTCAGCGGACTGAACAGCGGGTACAATGGCTTACAACTCAGCGAACTGAACAGCGGGTACAACAGCTCACAACTCAACGGACTGAACAGCGGGTACAATGGCTCACAACTCAACGGACTGAACAACGGGTACAATGGCTCACAACTCAGTGCTTCAACAGTGCGGACAATGGCTCCCAACTCAGCGCTCTAAAAACTTACAGGACGTACCTTTCCTCCTCCAAGTTCTGCTAGGACGCATATTTCCTCCACCAAGTACTATCAGGACGTTCCTCTCCTCCACCAAGTCATATGTCATGCTATATGGTGGTCGCGCTCAGCAGCAGAAACTGTCTTGGCGGCAACATTTGCGACTTGTTCAATTTACTTCACCAGGCATTTGATCGCTCACCCATAAGCATCGTCAGTATGAAATATGTGGGAATGCGTAAGCGTTGACAATAATTTTGAAGGCATCAGGTTCCAAGAAATGCCTGAGGCGATACAACGAGATTAGAAATAGCAATTAAAAAAGTATGCATGTTTACATGGTCATGGCGACGTGCTTCTCCCACCAAAAGCCTTTCGTTTACAATCCACCAAGCAATGTGACGTCTCGTTCAGGTCTGAGTTTTTCCATCTATTGATACCACAAACCACAGCTTCTCTTTCTTTTCTGCTTGGAGCCTTCAAGGATACAGCCGTTCTTTGTCCCTTACATAGATTTTGGGTTGAACCAAGCCTGAAGTTCGACAACTGACATTATTGACGATTTCCAACGTGTCGTGACTTACTTGTTGAGAGGAGCATGGCTCGGGAGCTGGGCGCCATCTGTATGAGACTGATGTGCCTGTGTGACAGGTGACTGGGCAAGTCTTTTTTTGAATGGGGTGTACAAGTGGCCATGGAAGGACTATCGATCCCTGGGGCACTCCATAGGTTACTGTTTCAGAGTCGTCAGTCGACAGGGGTGGTGATACATGGTCAACGCCTCTTAGCGGGATGGATGACGCTCTACGGGTTTTGCCTCCATTATGCCACTCACGCGCCTCGTCCGGCTGCACACGTGGGCTCCTCGAGAAGCCACAGCGTGCTGTTGCCTGCCAGCGGACGCTGGGCGGTGGTGGGTGAGGACGCTGGGCGGTGGTGGGTGAGGACGCGTGTGACATCAGCTGTGGAGACTGTCGGGCCGCTGTCTGATCTTGAAAGCGGAAAACAACGGGCCCATTTGACGTCATGACGTCACCATTATGGTGTTGTATGTCCTCCTCAGTGGTTGGCGTGGTCTATCCGGCCTTCGCGATGACCTCCCAGCTGACGTCGCCAGGACCGTGGTCGTCAGGGCACGCGCATTCCCTAGCATGTGTCAAAGCTCGTGCCGTGTCATGAGATGTCACGTCGCGTTTGAAGGAGGACGGCGCGGGCGATAAAGCTTCAGCGAAAAACTCATAAACAAGATTGGAAGTAATAATCGCAAGCCCTGATATGATATTTAAGGGACAAATTCGGTGCGGATGGAAAGGTAATGAAACAAACAGGCTTCTTTTTATAAAAAATGGCATCATAGGGAGCCATGCGCGGTGTCAATCCTTAAACAGGCTCAGAAGCAGACACCTTAACAAACACATGCTATAAGCAAACAACACGCACCCATAAGAAGGAACAGGTCCATAGATCACTACCAGATACAGATGTTGTCCGAAGTCGGCACTGTAAATTAAAAAGAAAACGGAATGATAAGGGCTTTCGAGGCAGGCCACTGATAGCCGGACCTTGAGCCTGCTCCCTGAAAAACGGCAGTGCAAACTATGCAATTTTAATCGTGACGTGTGGGCGCAGGTTCCGTAAATGAAAAGGTTTCGACACATTTTATTTATAGACGACTAAAGAATCAAAAACTAACATAAAAGGTACCTCGACTCCGATCCGTGCTTTCGACGATTTCGCGTAGTTCGTAGAGTCTTGTTCTGTTTTATGACACTATGTCCAGGTCAGTAAATTAGGTCATTCCTGCAAAAAAACAAACCCAGAATCTTCAATGAAGTTTACAGCCCGTGCTACAAAATTCATTCAATTCGTTCGACTTCAACCCGACTTCATCACAGGTTTTGGTCAAATGGTTGACTCGTCTATGTAATCTCACGAAATGAAGCTTGCCGTTGAGACATATAATTTAAGTAGCGATCAACCCAGTATCCCAAGTAACCACCGATGGAAGGAAACGCTTGCCCAAACAAACACTTACCGCTACCACTGACTGAGAAACTATTTGCTTAGCTGTCGTTCAAATTCGAATGACATGTAGTTAGCCTTCAGCTTGTTTACATTGTTTTAACCCTGCCATGATAGGACTGCTATTTCCTAGGGAGGAACAGGGAAGTTTCTTTTGGTCCAGTGGCTAGCTGTCATCTGGTGGTTGAATTAATGTGGTTGGTGCACAGATTGAGTACATAGTTGAGTATAATTGATTTCTAGCTCTGCCACTTAATGGAGCCAAGCACAGCGTGTCCTGATGGGAAAAGGTTGGGTTATTTTACATACGTAACTCAAACCGACATGTTATCAGCCCAAACACGGCCTTAGATTTGGAGGAGGGAAAATATTTATTTGATGACGGGATGGTTGCGGAGAAGAGGGGGAGCAATATTGATCATCGTTCCTTCTCCAGGCCATGACTCTGCACAGGCTTTACGCCTAATAACGACTCGCAAGTCTAGTGTCATACTTCTATGGCTAATCCTTGTATTTCATATAAATGCTCTGACTTATTACTTGCCGTCGATCGTAAGTTACACAACGGTATGCAGAGAAATTTCAAGACGGCACACGAAATAGACCAGCCGTATCTAGAACGGGCAAGCTTGTTGCATTCTCCTTTTTACATTCATATACTATATCATTTGGTTAACCACTATTCCGCGTGCGAAATTACTGAACATTTCTCAAACGTAATCTTTGTCGTTAAACTGTTATTCCGCGAGTGAAACACGTTTGCCGGTCGCGTTCGCATAACCTTTGCGCAGTGGTCACAACAGCAATGGTTCCCTGATTGTTCATAATATGCAGTTGAGTTGACAAAACTACTTTATTTGTAATGGTACCTTGACGGCAATGACAAAAATACTCAGTGATTTAAAACCCAAGCGGGCTCTTACCTTTCCTAGATATTTGCAACAGGATAAGGCAGTGTCGTAAATCGGAAGGCGACGTCCATGATTACGGCTGGCATTATCTAACAGTAAATGAAATCGCATTATATGAAACCACCTTTTTGCGGCCTATACGAAAGGTGCTTGTCTCGTAATCCAGCGGCGCTGGGTCCGAGTCACAGACCGAATGCGCGTTGTTTGGCTCGACTGACATAGAAAGGTCAGCAGGTAACTGACTAACGAGGATCAGCCCAGGCCCGGGGCGGTCGTGTCGCAGCATTGAACGGCACATAAAACTCTCTGCAATTCTGTCTGGCAAACGCGCGCAGGCAAAATTATCTATCCGTTGAACTGAACGGAAGAAGTTGGGCAGTGGGCTCACGGTAAACGCAATAAGCGATGGTTATCGGGTACCCCTAAATTTAAAGCCAGCTATGCAAAGCGTTCTGAATGAATGTTTTTGATAAGCCCCTTCAATCCAGGGTTCACACATATATGTCCTTGTTGCTTTTGATGTCCTCGTTGCAACTGAGAAGTCATTGAATGGCTTTATCCGTGTTATCTGTGGCATCTGTGGCACCTGTGAGGCAGCTGCAGAGCACTCGCTCAATCTGTGGCTCATTGTACCCCAAATGGTTTTGCTATGCATTCCTTTAAGCGGATCTGTTGAAAGAGAACCCCAATCAGACTTTTCGACAACAGCCTCTAGCTTCTGACACTTGTGAGATAGAGTTCGGTGATTTTGTTAAACACCGTGTTTAAACACAATCCAGAATTTGTGTATCATGTTGCGGTCACTGCCGGCTCTGTAAGGAGTGTTTTGGGGCATGTCGCGGAGATATGAAGCATTTTCGTAAGTCGCAATTAAAATTGACACAAAGTGCGCATTTCCATGCAAGAAATCATATCTCCCGGATGGCCCATTGAGGCGATACATGTTGACATGTAAGTTGGAGCTATGGTTAATGCTAGCCGTGTTTGCAGGATTTTGATACCACCTCTGTTGGCTGTTGCCTCTACCATTACGAAATCTACTTCTTTTTAAGTCTTAGAAAGTAGGTCATGCCATGACAATTACATTTTCACAATTTTATAGTAAATATTATTTTGACTGCATACCCTTAAACTCTGACAGGTCAGGACCAAACCTGCTCGTGAGGCCATTATTTCATGTGGCTGTCATATGATAATTATTCATACTACGACAACGCGACGACCGACATTCGGCTCAACGTGGCGAACTGTTTCACATCACACTAATAGTTGAGGGCAGTGTAAACAAACATCTGTCCGTTTCACGCTGTATTCCCAGCTGCGGCAGATACACGCGAAATGACAAGAGTGTATTCGTATGTGAGAGTACGTGCACACCAAGCAGCATAGCCTTATTTGTTGTATTGTGATGCACGCTTCTGTGTCCTTGCAGCTGGGCCTGATATGGCCTTTGAAGCCGAAACGTCCGAAAACCACCAATCATCATGTGTCCTTGTATGCGCATGATGACTTTGCAGATAACTGTATTTGAATTGCATCAATACATATTTACAGATTAAAATATGTAGAGCAATGAACATGCTGCAGATTCAGCAAGGTCTAAAATGGCCACACTACAGCTGACGGGCTAACCAGCGCAGCCTGCAGTCGTAGACATTTGTTTGCCTCACGTTTGGAGAGCCATCGGAGCTCCTCATCGCCTTCACGGCCTGCCGGGCCTCCGGCAATGATGTCTGCCGCTGTTGTCAGAGACCATCCCGCCCATCAAATTGTTGACAAAACTGATGTTAGCTTGACGCCAACATTATTGATCTTCATCTCCGGGTCTCCTCAGGCGTGATCATCCGGTGTAGTAGCCCCCTGAAGTGTTAATGGGATCGCCAGCTGGGCTGAGTGCAGGCGCGCCGGCCTGGTCTTCATTTCGGTGCGCTTCAGGGAATACAAGTGACCTCTCCAGCCTTCCCATGACATGCCAATCGCGACAATGACGCCGTCTTCATTGGCCGGCGGCGTGCTTTCACGCAGATAGATACCATTCAGGTTCGCCAAGTGGCACGCATTATACCACCAGCCGCCGAAGAAGTGGTTTGCGCAGTCGATGCCAGCCGATGCGTCGTTATCCCTGTCCTTGGTGCTGAATTGCTGTTCGCTGGCGTACGCCATCGAGTCTCCGACGTCGCCGGTGAAGTTGCCCAGGTGCAATCGGTACTGGTCTGCCTCGCTGTCCACGATGAAGGACGCGTAGCGGGCGAATCGCTTGTCGCCGTCAAAGTCCTCCAGTTCGATTCGCAGCTCCTGTGGCTCGCCATAAGTGAGGCGGTGGAGCAGTTCGTTGCCGAGCCAGAACTGGCCGGATACGTTGCCGAAGCCGTCGCGGTAGCTCTGCCAGTCGCGGTAGAAGTCAAGCTGCTCCGTGTCGTCGCCACGCCGCTGGAACACGGTCCAGCCGCCGCCAGCCGTCTCCATGTCGCAGAACACCCAGGCAGACGACATTCCCCGCATGGTCATGACGTACGGTCCGCTGGAGTTAATGCCTCGATCCAGGAGCCGGCTGCAGCCGTCGATGACGCAGCAGCCGAGCGTGGTCAGCTGCGGCGAGGCGCAGGCGCAGACACCCTGCTGGCAGGAGGCGCCCAGCTCGCCCCGCCAGCACTCGTCGGCACTCAGGCAGTGCTCGCCGAGCGCGGCGCGGCCGTTCCTGACGAAGGCGGCCAGCGCGGTAGAGGCGGCGGTGCTGCCGCCGCGGCGCGAGGCCAGCCGGCAGTGGAGCCCGCCGCCGGCCGGCACCAGCTCGGCGGCGGCGCAGCCGCGGTCCACCAGGCACAGGTGGCGACAGTGGCAGGCGGAGTCGGCTGGCCAGCTGGCATACACAGCAGCAGCCGGCGGCGACCAGTCGACGGCCGTCATATGCCAAAACTGCAACTGGTCTTGCCAGCCGACGTGTCTCCGCAGCGATGGCTTGGCGGCGGCGGCGGCGGCGGCCCAGAGTGCCACCGGCAGCACCAGCACCGCCAGCGCCCTCTGGAACGGGTGGGCACGCCCTGGAAGTGTGAGAGGGGCCACCGTCAGAGACAGAGTCAGAGTCGCCAGCTGAATCTAGGACATGTGGATGCCTAAGTGGAGCTGTCTAAATAGTAATGCGTCCGGGTAAAGCACACGGCGGAACGCTGAGTCAGTTCACCCCAGACATTTTCCACATGCCTAATTTAAAGTTACAGAAATTCCATAGAGTAGAAACTGAGAAAGCTCTGGGCCAGCAACCTTTTCTGCCCCCAAGAGTGCAACCTATACACATGGGCTCCCATTAGTCGGCGCCTAAAAATATCGGTGACAATATTAGACGATACTAGTGGATCATCACCAATACAGGACGGATTGAAGGCAGCATGCGACTCCCCATCAGTCCTCCTCATACTCCTACGCTTGTCGTGTGCCTCTGCTCGGTGTGTTGGTGTGATAAGCTTGTGTGTGATAGTGTGTGATATGTATGTGATATTGAAGTGACATGCTTAAGGAGATCTCGGTCTATGTTCAGCGCTTTTCCAGATTCGTTATTAAGCGATGGGTTTTTTCTCACTAGATGCAGCCGCAGTGCCAAGTATTCACAAGAGATGAAAGGATGTCGCTGGCTTAGTTGAATTACGCAAAACTGGTCTTACAATCAGTAAATAGAAGGATAAACGCCGAAAAGCAAGAAATGAGTGATTTCGAAGAAACCACACGCCACTTAAGACATTATCACGCCACCAAAATCTGCAAAGTTGTTTGGATGACGATACTTGGGTGTATGTAAGCTTCCTAAAAGATTATGCTGTCAGTTTCTCAAAGGTATCGATGAGATCTAGAGCTGACTGCTTAAGTTTGATGTATTGCAATGTTGTTGTTCAACGAAAAGTATGATCTCTGTAGCTTAGCAGGCGGAGCGCCAGACTCGGCATGGGCTGCCGCCTGGCGTGGCAGGCCGCTCAGACGGCATTGTTTGACTTCCAGAATCAGTGGTTACATAGCTCTTCCAGGACGGCCGATGATGGCTGGCCTTGGGAGTACCAGGCCAGGACAGCGCTGCCCTGCCGCGTCGGAGCGGGGACCGCCTTAAGAGTACCAGGTCAGGACAGTGCTGCCCTGCCGCGTCGGAGCGGGGACCGCTTTGAGAGTGCCAAGCCAGGACAGTGCTGCCCTGCCGCGTCGGAGCGGGGACCGACACATTACAGATCCCTCTGCACTGTTCGGCTTGAGACCGAGCAAAAGGTCCTCAAAACCAAATTACAGCATTGGGGTGGTGGGGTGATGGTGTTTACAAGCTCTGCTTGAATCTGCTTGGTCTTAAATCCTCCACCAATCCTAGCAAAATATTTTGCCATTTTTATCCGACCCATAGGTGTTGCTGTGAAGCTGGTCTGGATGGGGGGGGTATTTCACAATATGTATGCGTCATTTCGATTAGTTTGCGATGCATGCAACAAGTCCAGTTCTCATGCTGAGGTTTTCAGGTTAGGTTAAGGTCTATTTAGCAGGTGACCCACGACGAATGCAGCGAGACAACAGCAGGACAGCCAACAGTCGGCTCGACTTTATGTGAACAAAAATAGCTTTGAGCTGGTTTTGTCAGCAGCGTGAGTTCAGAAGTCCTACACTCACAGTTAGCTGCCTTCATATGCCAGGAAGTACCGGTGAGCGAAGTTATTAAGCAAACAGCAGCTATATTGCCAGTACTAAAATCGTGATGACAAACACAGATTGGACCTCGGATACTGCCAATGCAGCGAATGTTTGCCTGATGCAGTCGTTTTCTCAGTACCTCCTGGTATCAGAGGTACACCTCATGGTCGATACCTGTCAGAATAAGAGCTTTGAACTCATAAATATACTGTCTTGAGCCGGTAGTATTTTCCTCTTAAAGCGAGCAATTTGCCACCGTGCTGCAACTACTGCGTACGTGCATGGGACCCTTGCCGGGTTAGATTCTCGAGGATAAGCCCACTGGACTGACCGGTCGAGTTATGCGGTGCAGTGCTGGGTGCTCAGCGCGTCACGTTTGACGCACGGTTGGCATGTGTTTGTCAGTTGTATGTTATGACAATGGCTTTAGGCTGTAGTGCACAAAGCTGTGATTGCTTGTCGCGTTCTGTTCATTGCAGAGCTGTTGCCTCACACATAGAAGTGTTTATTGTCAAGACATGCAGATAATAAATGGCGAGGAATTGCGCGTGGCATTTCCATGAAGTATATTAAACGTATTCAATATCAGCGAAGATATTTATGCATGGTGATGAATGGTCGCCAATTCTACATTGCGCGCACGATAAAAACCGACTGTCATCATGGCTTCTCTACGAATGCTATCCAATCTTTAATTATGTTTATCTATGCCATGCCACGTGTGGCTTCTGTCATCACACTAGAGATTTCCGGGGTCCTCGCCGTCCCACCCCTTCGACTGCCCGTCCTCCGCGCCCCAAACCATATTCCAAACACCCACCTCCACTCCGGCGCCTGTCCTTCACACCCCAAACACCCACCCTCCACTCCGGCGCTTGTCCTTCGCACCCCAAACCCACACTCCAAATTACCACCTCCACTCCGGCGCCATCCCTTACACCCAAACACCCACCTCTGCGCCGGCGGCGCGTAGCGTTTTCTGTCCTCACGCGTTTGTCCCATGATAACAGCTGCAGCCGGCAGCCGACGTCGGCTGCATGCAGCTGCCGGCGGCGAGCTTCAGCGGCAGCCGAGGGCGCCCGAGTGCCACCGCGCGGGCCGCCGCTGCCGCCAGCGGCCGGCGTCTCCATGGGGGAGGGAGCGCGGCGACGCCGACGTCCGTGCCGCGGCCGGCGCCAGCACAGGCAAGCGACGCGGCCGGCGCCAGCACCGGCCCTCGCCTCAGCTGGTGCCAACACAAGCTAGTGCCGGCACCGCCGGACATGATGAGCACTGTGGTTCGGACATGAAACCCCGGTGGAACTGACACCTCGTGCTGTGGTTACCCGGTGGCTCGATAACTGCAGATGTACCCAAATATCAGTGAAATGTTTACGCGAGATGACGACAGGCTCAAAACAGGTACGTTGCTGATGACGATGAGATTGTCGCGTAGAGGCATTGCACTGCATAAGTCGCGACGGGCATAGGTGTTTGCAGAGTAACTATCCCCGTGTAGCACTCATTTGTGCATAGGTTTTTTGCATAGAGGTCAGTTGTAGTCAGTTGTAAGTAAAGACTGCGTAAGTTTTTGTAAAAATGTCATCGCGGATAAGGTTTTTGAAGAATGCATTTTGTCGTGTAGACCGTTTGTAGCAGACGTAATACTTCACAGAGCTAACGTCGAAGTACTCCTGTCGGTAGGGGTTGTTGTGGTGCTAATGTCATGACACCGTTTTGATGGACCGGTAAAGCGACACATGCGTGTGGGGGCAGTGGCGCTCGGTAGAGGTGCACCAGTGCTCGAGTACATGCCGTTGTTTAGGAGAGTGGCAGGCGTTCGGACAAGGCTCCTATGCGCGGAGCTGTCCGCGGACGATTGATATCATCCCGCGAACTTTGTAGTAGTTCAGAGACAACGAAAATGTACATGTTCGTTAGACTCACCGCGTTTGGGATCGAGTGGTTGAGCACTGATATTAGTTTGGCAGATAATGGTCCGGTGGTTGGTAAATTGCTGGAATGGATGAAACATTTGATTTTGTGCGTATCTTTCTAGCACCCTGTATTTCATGCGCCAAGAATAAGACCGTTGCTGCGGAAAATAAGCAAGACTGCAACGCAATGTTTTGACTACAAGTTTCATAGATGATCCGATCTGATCTGGTCCAGATCCGTTGTACTACAGGGCTTGTGTTTATGATCACCAGCAGGCTCACCCAGAAAATTTGGCCCTATTTAGCGGCATTGACAAGTCCTTTACGCCTAACCGTCCGTTGAAACGAGTAAAAGTTAGACTACCCACTGTCATTGTGGTCTACGAGGCAGAGCGATGATGTTCCTAAGCTCATTATATCTGACAATCTCTACTCATCTCTGTGACACCATGCCCGTGATCTCGAACGTTTGCCTGCCCCCTGCGCCTACGATGGAGCATCACGATTACCAACTTCGCCTGCATCACCTGCTCCTGCTACTCCACCGCGTCACAGGGCCCGGCCGCGGGCCCGGAGAGGCCATCCTGGAAGCGCCCGCGGCGCAGGCCTCCTCCGGTGATGTCCTCGTGACGGCATGGCTGCTGCAGATAGACGCAGACAGCTGGAGAGGTAGGCGTCCGACGAGGTAGACAACCGGGGATGCAGACCACTGATGAGACATCTAAAGACGTAGAATATCTGGTGTGGGAGACGTCCGATAGGATAGACATCTGGTCAAGAAGTCGAGCAGAGCTGCGCTGACAGCGACCAGAAGCGCTTTAGAATAACGTTCTGCAGTTGCTCTTGGTGCTTTGATGTGGATTGGACCAGCCACTCTGTGCTGAAGCGTTTGAGCTGCATTGCTTCCCATACTCATCACGGCCGCGCACGAATGGAGAGTACTGAGTTAAGTTGGTGTGAAATGAAGATTCTTCAATGGTAGAATGCTCAACGATGGTCATTTCAGGAAAGCTGGGGAAGCATTTCAGTATACGTCACACCGCACATTGTTAACACACGCTCGGATGGGGGTCATTTGCCCCCCCCCCCGCCCGAAGGAGTCTTTCTGAAATGTTTTCGGACGGCGTGGCGAAGTGGCGACAAATGTTGCATAGCTAAGACAATTAAATGGTGATCTTCTCGCATGAAAAATGTATTGACCTGGTAAGATCGCTGCCCTATGGCAGGTAAAATTCCGGTCGTGGCTGTTAGCGAAGGCAGTTTCTAGGGGCATACTTGATCTGATGCGACAGCGGGAATGTTACACGAAGCTTATATCTGAAAGAGTTTCGTAGGCAATAAAACAACTGAACTTAGGCTTATAACAAACTTCAACGGCCTGAAGGCCAGACCAAGGC